CTATATTGGAAAAAAGCCCACATTCTAGGAGCTGTTAAAACATTTAAAAACTACTCAGATAATAACAAAAAATATTATAAATCTACCACCTGATACACCATATTCGATTAAAGCCAAATTCATGTATCATCTGATTACCTGATATTCTCCTTCCATCAAGGTCAAAGTATTCCATGACTGCCTTCAAATAGGCTTTACATTTTAGCCCCACTATTAAAAATGTTGAAATAAATAGCTATGACAAGTCCAATGGAAATAATATTAAGATTAATTCTAGTTTCATTTCCCTATGTATACTGGAATTAATTGCCTTATTTTATCTAAAATTATGCTTTAAAGTTTCAATTTTTATATGTGCATTTGAATGAAGAAACAGGGATTTCATAGCTGTTGCTTTTTTTAAGATTTTAAATTATGTATGTTTCCACATATAAAAGAATGGATCTGGACCTTTGTCGTGCACCATATACAAAAATTAACTGATACTGAATCAAAGGCCTACATGTATAAGCTAAAACTGTAAAACACTCAGAATAAAATAAAGGTGAAAATTTGGATGGTCTTGCATTAAATGGTGGGTTTTTAAATATGACACCAAAAACATGTGCCATTAAAGAAAACTAGATAAACTGGACTTTGCCAAAAACTTCTGTCAAATGGCATTATCAAGAAAGTGAAAAGACAATCCATAAAATGAGAAAAAAAATTGCAAAGTATGTATGTGTTAAGGGGCCTGTATCCAAAATATATAAAGAACTCTTACAACTCAAGAATTAAAAAGCAACTCAATTAGAAGTGTTCAAAGCAAATGAACAGTCCTATCTCTGAAGAACATACACAAATGACTAATAAGTACATGAAAAGATGCTCAACATTAGTAGTCAGTAGGAATATGCAAATAAAAGATGTATCACTTCACATCCACTAGTATGAATATAATTTTAAAAAACGGAAAATAACAAGCATTGATGACACTGTAGAGAAATTAAAACGTGTATACTGCTAGTGTAAATGTAAAACACCGCAACTACTGTGGAAAAATGTTTGGCAGTTCCTCAAAAACTTAAACACAGAATCACCACATGACCTAAGAGTTCCCAGGTATACGACCAAGTGAACTGAAAATACACGTCCCCATAAAAACTTGAACAGCCATGTTCACAGCAGCATTATTCATAATAGGCAAAAAGTGGAAACAACCCAAATGTCCATTACAAAGGATGACTTTTCTTCCAAGTCATCAAAAGCGGTCCTCATAGTCTCTAGAATATATCATAGATGTCTAATCAAGCTTCCTATACTTTATTTTGAAGATCAAATCATAATAAACCAAGTCCTATGAACTACTATTTATCTGTGAAGTTATAAATCATTAACTTAAGAAAACAAGATTAGGATATGAGTCTTAAAAGAGATTTATTCCGTCATATAGTTTTTGCCTAAAACTATTTTTAATTCTGTATTTGCTATTTACACTTGGGTAAACAATATGTGATAAATTCATGAATAGAACATTATTCAGTGATAAAAAGGGATGAAGTGCTGTTACATGTGACAACACAGATGAACCTTGAAAACATTACACTGATCAGGACAAAACAGACACAAAAGGTCACATATTATATGATTCTATTTATCTGAAATATCCAGAAGAGGTAAATCCTTAGGAATCAAAAGTAGATTAGTGAATGCCAGAAAATTGGAAAAGGAGGGAAATAAGGCTAACTACTACTAGGTATGGAGAATCTTATTGGGGAGATTAAAATGTTCCAGACAGCACAGATGGTTGCACAACATTGTGAATACACTAAAAACCATTAAGTGTACACTTTAAAATGATGAATTTCATAGTATGTGACATGTATCACCATAAAATATTTTAAATATGGGGCCCCTGGGTGGCTCAGTGGTTGAGCGTCTGCCTTCAGCTCAGGTCATGATCCTGGGGTCCCGGGATCAAGTCCCACATTGGTCTCCCCGCAAGGAGCCTGTTTCTCCCTCTGCCTATGTCTGCCTCTGTCTCTTATGAATAAATAAATAAAATCTTTTAAAAAATATTTTAAATATGCTTAACTATATCATTTTGGCAAGGTTTTTTTTATAGAGAAAAATATTGTTTAGAGCAATAAAAAAATTCTATTTTACATGTACAAATTTAGAATTCTCTAAAAAATACTATATTGTGTCAGAAAACAATTTTAATTATGATTAGTCTCTAAATTGTTATGCTTCTTAGATTATCATACTTAACACCTGAAAACTTCACATTCATAAACAAGACCCAAGACCTCAATTACCTGTGTCTTTGAGGGAGAAATCCTTTCTCCAAATACAAGGATACCTAATGATTTAGAGAAAAAGCTGTGTACATTTATTTGTAGTGAACAATAGTGTCATAAACGATACACCGCCCCAGTCTTTTTGGTTCACGAGATTTCTAAATAAATCAGGAAATACCAAGGAACACTTAACTGATAGAAGCAATGATGGCCTACAGCATGAAGATACAAATAGACCAAACTGGGTGTTGAAGTGAACGTTCTCTAGAATCCTCAGTTACAGAGGGAACATTTTCCTGGATGAAATGGGCATTTCATAGCTTTGAGGATATTGATAATTTATGAAAAATAGATTGCAACGTATATTTGAATGAGGTACATACTTTGTGGGAAAGGCACTTCATTTCAGCTAAAAGCATCCCAGGTTATCAGGGAAATGAACAAGCAAATATTGAGAGTGTTATCCCTTTTCCACTATCATCGAATTCTTATTTGTCTGTCGCTGGCTAAAATTTGAAGCTCTAAATTCCATTCTCTCCTAATTTTTTTTAAAGATTTTATTTATTTCATTCATTTATTTATTTATTTATTTATTTATTTATTTATTTGATTATTTATTTATTTATTTATGAGAGACAGAGAGAGAGGCAGAGACACAGGCAGAGGGAGAAGTAGGCTCCAGCCCAACGTGGGACTCGACCCCGGGACCACCGGATCACACCCCGAGCCAAAGGCATATGCTCAACAGCTCAGCCACCCAGGCGTTCCCCATTCTCTCCTAATTTTACACATGGGAATAAAAGTGAAGATAACCCTGAATTTATAATAGGCCTTCATGCTCAAGTATTTACAAGAGTTGACTACAGAAAAATCAAGTGGGGGGAACACCTTCCATGAATTAGTCCACAAATAAACTGCTACTAGTCACTGGCACAAAGACCTCCGACTAAGTGAAATAAAGGTGAGTTAATGACATCTCAATGATGTCATGTGTTTCACTGACTTATTTCAATGCTAAATAATTTTATGAAGCGCAAACTGAGGTATCCAAACATTTTAAGAACTGATTTTCTTTTTTTTGAAGAACACATTTGAACATTTCCTTTCAGGAACTATTTTTCTCTTTTGTAAAAACTTTGAATATTTCTTTTCTAGAACTCTTTTTCTTTTCTTCTAAGTCATGAAAACCTGTCCTCATAGTCTCTAGAATATGTCACAGGTGCCTAATCAAGCCTCCTATACTTTATTCTGAATGTAAAATCATAATAAACCAAGTCCTATGCACTACTATCTATCCATGAAGTTATAAATCATTAACTTAAGAGAACAAGATTAGGGTATGAGCCTTAAAAGAGATTTACTGTCATATAGTTTTTGCCTAAAAATTATTTTTATTTTCGTATTTGCTATTTAATGCCACAGGAGACAGTCTGCATCAGTTCACAGCCCCTCCCTGTTCCCATTAAACACTTCTGGAGGCCAGAAGTGACCATAGGAGCACCAAAGGCTAACACTGAAGGAGAAAATCTCTCATGTTAAAATATAATTTTCTTCTTTTTTGTTAATTAAAATAACTGATGCTTTGCCTCAATTGTGTATAAAAGAGTGTTGCTTGAGTGGAATAAATACGGGCACATGTGTTACATATTAAAAAGGAATTATAGCAAATAAATCCAAAGTGTGAATGGAGATTTAACCGATCTATGGTTAGGAAATACCATGATTTTCTAAATAAGGCTAGGTCACATTATTTTAAAAAGCTGAGCTTTTAAGTAACAAGAAATAATATTAAGATACTATGGAGAAACTTGGAAAGATGGAGGGCGGAGCACAAAGTTAATTTGTACTGAATACTGTTGTTTTGACCATCATTTATTATCATTCTAAAGCTCTACTGTGAATGAGGGATAGCTGGGAAAAAAAGTTTGACAATTCAATTTTAATGGTAATGAAGGGGGATCCCTGGGTGGCTCAGCGGTTTAGCACCTGCCTTCGGCCCAGGGCATGATCCTGGAGTCCTGGAATCAAGTCCTGCATTGGGCTCCCTGCATGGAGCCTGCTTCTCCTTCTGCTTCTCCCTCTGCCTATGTCTCTGCCTCTCTCTCTCTCTCTGTCCCTCGTGAATAAATAAATAAAATCTTTAAAAAAAAAAAAGGTAATGAAGTAAGAAAAATGCTTTAAAATTTTACCATATAAATAGAAAAAGAATTTACTTTATCCTGCTTGGCTATAGCTGCTATTACTACAGATCTGAAATATTTCATGCACCACTCTGATATGCCAAACCCAAAATTCAGACTTCAATTTAATAACTGAAATGTTATAAAGAGTATGAACACACATATCAATTGATACATTTAAAAAATACATATACAACAGTCCCTATTATAAAAATGTTTCACTGGAAAAAAAAAATTTGTCTATGCTCTTCTTCTAATAAAGCCTCAAAATACGTAAAATGTTTCCTATGATCATTTATATGCAGTACAGGAGATTTGGAATACAAGTTTATTTCCTTCCTCCCTGTATCAGTTTTACATAGAATTTGTAAATTATACATACCTAATTATATGTATGAACAGATTCATATACATACAAAAAGTTATTATATGTACTTAGTTTTATATCTATAAGGAAAAATTTACCTATGATAGTCATTGTTATCAGAAAGAAGTTAGAATATGATTATTTTCAGTAGCACATATTGTTCATCCTACTTACTGTTGAAGAGCCCAGTGCAGACTTTGGAGACCTAATTATTCCAGCAATTGAATGACGGATGGACTCAAATTTGGATAGCCTCTCCTTTCTTTCCTGGAAAGATACAGAAAGAAGCCTTCAGCAATAGTAAACTAGTTTATACAGTAATGCTGGGTAATTAGGTATTTATCCACAGCTCATTAAATACTAAATAAAATACAACATTAAAGGTGACATTAAAGGTGACAAATCATCAAATGCATATAAACTCTATAGTATTTTGGTCCCTTAATAAATGTCTTGATTTGGGGAAAAATAAGAAAGAAATAAAAATTCTTAAGAAGAGAGAAAAGAAGAAATGCAAAGGAAATCCATAGGGAACCAAGTATTAACATGCAGGTGAAAAAAAGAAAAGACACAAGCCTATGAGGAACCAGTCTAATATAGATTTCAGAGTGTAGTTGTGAGGGATTTCCAAGGAAACAGTAAGAGGGGGAAAACAGGAGGAGAACTATATTGAACATATTTTTTTAAATAGTGAATTCCACTTAAATAGCTAGGAACCTTCCCAAAGATTCACATGATCACGACGATGACGATGATGATGACACCACCAGAAGAGGACCACAAGAAAATAAAAAAAAGGGGAGAACTCCACTAAGGAAAGTCAATTCAGATTGCACTTGCTTTAGGAGGTATATTTCTGGGTATCATATATCACAATCGAAAGAAACTTTTCCTTAAAATTTCGTATCTTTAGATCCATTTAAAAAATGCAAACGAACGGCTAGGTAAGAGGGTAGACACAAGAGGAAATAGAACAAAAATGAGAACTAGGAGGTAATAAGGAAGGATTGTGAGGGCCTGTCAATTTTTTTTTTTTTTTTGTAAACATGTATGAAATGTGGTTTGATTTCAGTAGTTTATTTTGGGAGACAAAGCAGTGCAAGAGGCCAGCCACACTTTCCCGCTTCCCCGGGGCTCAGGGTTGGACTAGGAAAGGCGCTGTACACACATTATAATCAGGGTTCAACACTCAAGTCGTGTAAATGTGGTTAGTCAGCGGGTCCTCGGGTCACGGGGGTCCTCACCCGACCCAGCCCTGCCTGATGGCGGTCACCACCCGGCCCTTCCTCTGCGGAGGGTGGGCGACCCCCCCGCCCCTACTGAACCTGAAGGTACTGCCGCAAGCCCAGGCCTCACAGCAGTGTCCTCACCGGGCCACAAAGGACAGCTTGGAGGCCTCTCCCACCTTCTCCAAGTGAAGGGGTATCTGAAGGTCATGCTCACTGGGTCCTTTGCATTTCGCCTTGATTCACCCTGTCCCAGGGCTGGTGAAGGCCCTCGCTGGCCACCTTCTCTACGGAAGGGCGGGTGGTGCACCCAAGGACACCGTGGGAGGTGCCCGAGGGGCTGGTGGCATCTGCCGCGCATGGAGGAGGGGGTGACTGTTTCCTCACTCCTGGGGCCGCAGCTCCCTTCATACTTGGCCGGCTTTGTGCTTGGGGCTTATGGTGAGTACAGGAGGGTGAGCGGACCCGCAGGGCGGGTGTCAGAAGATGTGAAGCGCAGAGGCAGCCCTCCGGGCCGGGGAAGCGAGCCTCAGCCACCTCAATGCCAGGGGATGCACTGCCCTGGGGTGACTTCTCGGGCAGGCAGGCCACACCGCAGGGCGCAGGGCATCCAGCCGGCCCGTCAGAGGTCTCTGGTCTCAACCATTCATCACATAGGAGGACGAGGAGGCCCAGCAACGCCTGTGGTGATCTGTCCAGTCACAGCTCAAATCCTTGGCACGGGCAGGATCAGCCTGGGGCCCCTCCTGGGTCCCAGGAGCCACGTGTGGTCAGGGAGGGAGCCCCCCTTTGCAGGGCTGCACGGGACCCATGCTGAAGGGCCTGGAGGCCTAGGGTGCCAGACGTGGAGACGGGAAGCCAATTCAAGGCCTCGGCCTCCCCTGGGAAGCATCCTTTCGTGAGTGGGGCACAGATGGACCGCAGCCCAGACCCTATGTGGGACCCCCCCCCCAAGAAAGGAGCAGGTGCACCTCCTGGTTCTTCTGGCTCCTGCTCTGGGGAGCAACACCCAGCAGCTCCCCTGGCTACAGCGTGAGGCCCTGTTCCTCCCACAGCCATGGAGGTGGCCAGCAGGAGGCAACAGAGACGGGGCCGGGCCTGCGTGGCGGGGGCTGGAGAAGACAGGAGGAACCCCTCGTGCACTGTTGGCCAACAAGCGCCCAAGCAGGGGCGGCCCCCACGGGGTCCACAGCAGCCATGGAGACACATGGACGTGGATGTGCACATGCACTCGTACACACGTAGCAGCTGCGCAGGCACTGGTCAATTTTCCAATAATGACAACATTTCAGCTGTTTAATCAGCAGCAGACAAAAGAACTCAAGGTCCTATTGCCATGCGCTGGATTTCAATATGTCTTCCAACAGTAGTGATGCTCAATTTTACGATCAGTGGAAAATAAGTAAAACAGGCCACAAATAACATCACTTGTTTCCTTTGTCCCTAACACCTAGAGGACGTGTCTCCACACAGTAAATGCAGACATTTTTAGCCATATACTCTCTGATAAACATTGTAGTTTCTGAAATTCAACCTCTCTCTCCAATTGACTACTTCTACTTTATTTATTTTTCATTCTAATGGTTGCAGTACAAATATTCTTATCATTCTACAAACATATATGCACGTTAATAATTTAATCTTATAATAACCTAACAGAACAAATGACCTCAGCTTCTTTTTCATCATTACTTACATTACTAACTTGCTTACGATCTCATGTAAATCACTATCCATACCTCATTTTGATCACCTATGAAATGAAAAAGTTAATACAAACCTTCTTCTGAGCACAATTACAAGTTATTGCATGTGATTAAAAAGGAACATGTCAAAAGCATGTATATATTTAATAAAATCTACTGTAAAAGAGAAATCTTTACTATAGCACAAACGGCCATCACCTTAGGAATGTGAGCATACATTCTATAGGCTTAATCCTAGCTGTAGCTTCACTTTACTTTCTAGTAAAAATTCGTGTGCGGAGTCACAAGAGGCGCTGAAGGAAAGACAGCCTTGAACCACCGAAAGAATATAGTGAGACCTTTCTTTAATGCATGGCCAACTTCGACTTGGGTGTTTGGGGTTTTTTAAAAAATCTAATTCTGGGGGCATTGGGTGGCTCAGTCCATTAAGCATATGCTTTTGGCTCAGGTCATGACCCCAGGCTCCTGGGATGGAGCCCTGAGTCGAGCTCCCTGCTCAGTGGGGACTCTGCTTCTCCCTCTCCTTCTGCTCTTCTATTTCAAATCAATCAATCAATTAATCTTTTAAAGGATAAAAAATTTAAAAAAAAATCTAACTCTAGTGCTTGAGAAGTCTTCCAAAAAGAAAAAATGTTTGGGAAGGTAAAACCTAATAAAAGGTTTACCCAGAATATGGAGAATAAAAGAGTCGGGGAGTAAGATACACACAGCAGTTTATATTATATTATATTTATTATATTATATTATATATTATATTATATTATATATTATATTATATTATATATATTATATTATATTATATTTGTTATATTATGGTAACGCATGTATGCTTTGAAATATATTTATATGTAGTATACTCATAGTATGTAATATCTTTACAAATATTTATATTATTTATGGCATTATATATAGCGCAGTATGTTTTTATAGAACAGTATAATTATATGTAGCACACATATTGGAAAGTACCATCGAGGCTATAGTTTTCTACTTCCCAGCCTAATTTACTCATTTCTTCCTGTGGAGAATTTCTTGCCCCGACTCTGAGAGGCTGTGGAGAGGGCAGAAATGTCAGTAGAAGCAGTAGAAGCAGTAACGCTACTGCTGATCCTGCTGCTGCTACTAGGACAGGGAGGTGGAAGTGCTAACTTCACCTGTTTGGCAATGAGAGCACCAAGCACCTCTTCTGCGAATTTAGACTCCTCCTCTCAGTTAATGCTTTGAAATACAGGAGACAGTAGGGTGCCGAGGAAAGAGTACCAGGAGAACTGAGAAGCACTGAGAGGTTATGCAGAAAAGTGGAAAGTTCAGGGGAGAGTTTTATGTATTAGAAAGCACTTTATTTGTCCATGATCAAATAATATGCACTGAAATGACAACAGGAATTCTCTTCGAGCTACATCTTGGGCATCAAACAGGAAAGAGAACCATTTCCCTCAAGACCGTTTGATAATATCAAAACAGAAACCAACACCAGATAAGTCTACTGGGCAGGTCTGTGTGTAGCGCAAGGAAGACGTCAGAAAGTGCTTCCTTTATATTAAGTGATGAGGCATAATATACTACTGTGTGTTTGGGGGATATGATTAGTTACCAAATACCCCAAGACCCTTTCATTTAAAGTACTCTTTAAACAAGTTGATCTAAAAAATGAATTCTCACAAACACTAAGTAGACCTTCAGTTTCATACAGGAATAAGCAAATACAAATGAAATTTATAAACAATTTTTAAAAATTTTATAAAATTTATTAAAACATTTTAATCCGGGCTCCCTCAGTGCCCAGACTTCCACAAGTAAAACATGAGACTCACTTGCTAACACTGGTCTATGCAGCATCATGTATCAGCGCTAAATTATGGCCTCATAATACTTCAGACTGTGCTGAATTCACTGACAAGTTGACTTTTGTTATTAATGATTTAAATGGCTACTTTTAGAAATTAAAAGGCTTCCTTTCAATTACCATGGAAACAGGAACTAATACTGCCCGTAGGCCGCCTAGGGCTGCGGCCGCACTCATTTTATCCCCCTCAAGACACGACACGGTAAAGCGCTTCCTCCAGATAACAAACACGGGGATTCATTCAGGCAACAGGACGTCTCCTCATAGCAGAAGGACTTGGGGACCAGAGAAAGGGGGAAGGAGGGACGATGTTATGAAATAATATTCTGACGAGATGCCCAGGAAAACATTCTAAGTATAAATCTATCTTGAAAGAAAAGTTCTAGATGCACTTTCACATCTCATTCATGAATAGTGTTTCATTTTCATTATTTTAAAATTAACTGAAGGATTGGGGCGCCTGCAGGGCTCAGTCTGTTAAGTGTCTGA